CTCTGGTGGCGCTGCCGGCCTGGATCGCCACATCCAGGTCTTTCAGGACACCCGCCTCGTTTGCGACGTGGCGTTCCTCCCCGAGGCTGCCCTTATCGATCGTTTCTTGGCCAGCCTTCCGCTCGAATACCGCTCCGAGCTATGACGGTACGAGTTCACATCGGCCCCACAGGCTTACGAGGCCGCCAAGGACCACCAGCGGATACGAGCCCGTCTTCACCCCGCCTCCTCCTCCCAGCCCTAGCGCACGAGCTACGCCTCCTCCTCCTCTCACGACACTTCCCAGCGCCGTTCCCCTTTCCGCGGTCGCCCCTGCCGTTCCAAGCAGCAGGGCCGCCACTTCTCGCGCCGCTTCAGCGCGCTAGAGTATGGTGAGCAGGACGATGTTGCCCCACTGTCACCTGAAGGCGACCACAGCGACGACCTCGATCTCTTCGAGGACGCCTATTATCATTTGGAGGACTCTACCCTCCCTGCAGCTGAGCGCCTTCAGCTCGCGCTCTCCGCCCTCTCTCGGACACGCAGCCGCCCCGGTCACGCTGGCGCGTCGCCCCCCGAGGTCCCTCAGGAGGACCTTCCTCACGGCTTCGTCCCTCCTTGTGGTGTCCTTTCTGCTGAGGAGCGCGCGGCTATTTTTGGCCGGCGTGGGTGTTTGCGCTGCCGCTTGGACGGTCATACCTCCTCGCGGTGCCCTTACACTACCGCCCTCGACCGCCACTACGCTGACCTTTCTCGTCACCGACGCGTCGAGCCATTCGCTCAGCCTGTTGCAGCGAGCAGCTTGCTACTCGTGAGGACGTTGTGTCCTCTCTTCTGGACTTGAGCATGCTCCAGGCTCGTCAGGAGCGACTCATCCTCCATGTCGCTGCACTGCGTCGCCTTCTCGCCATCCTCTCTGACCCTGATCGCACCCTCCCGATCATCCCAGTACGACTCGGGACCTCCACGAGGGTGTACTCAGCGTTGTGGGATTCCGGTTCTCAGGGCGACTTCATTCACCCACGCGTGGTGAAGGAAGCCCGCTTACCCACGACAGGGTCTCCGACTCCCATCTCCGTTACCCTAGGGGATGACAAGACCCAGCGCTTCTTCGATCAAACGGTCACCGACCTCCCATTCTTCCTCACTCTCGAGCCGACTGATCGTTCCCCGACGTCTCGTCGCCACTGCTCCTCTGCACATTTCGGTGTGATGGAGACGGGGTATGACTTCATTCTCGGCTCTCCGTGGTTTCGTCGGTTCCGCAGCACCGAGGCCGATTGGGCGACCAACACTCTCGTTCTCAAAACGAAGTGTGGACAGACGTATCGCGTACCTTTCATAGGTACCACGACGACACCACGCCCCGATCCTTCTCCCCCGGAGCCTTCAGTGCCCACACCATCTCCCTCTATCACTGTCACCTCGCCTCGGCAGTTCGCTCACTTCATTCGACAAGACGACGCCACCTTCTTTATGGTGGACGTGACGGATCTCTTACACTATGATCCACCCTGTCCCGACTCCGAGCTTATCCCTCTGGAGCCAGATCCTCCCTCTATCTCCATGGCTCCCATCTCTACTTCCGTCCCTCCGCCGTCCGTCGAGTCCACCCCGTCGTCGCGCGCTGACGCTGACGCTGAGGAACTCGCACGATATACGGCTGACTTGGAGCCCGCAGTTCATGACCTCATCCAAGAGTACCACGACGTTTTCCATCGTCGTTCTCGTACGTCGGCATCCCACCGATGCGTGACGTCGAGCACTCCATTCAGCTTGTGCCTGACTATCGTGTTCACCACCAGACACCCTACAAACTCTCGATCCCCGAGGCCACCGAACTCAAGCGTCAGCTTTTGGAGCTCCTGAGACTGGGTTTCATTCAACCCAGCAACTCCCCGTGGGGTGCAACCGTCCTCTTTGCTCGCGAAGCGGACGAAACTCTCCATCTCTGCATCGACTATCGCGGTCTCAACTGCTACACGGTTAAGAACAGCTACCCCATGCCTCGTTCCGATGAGCTGTTCGACCGCCTAGCAGGCAACCGCTTCTTTACGAAGATTGATCTTCGTAGCGGTTACCATCAGATCCGCGTCGCTGCAACTGACCAACCGAAGACCGCGTTCCGATCGTGATTTGGCCACTACGAGTTCACGGTGATGCCATTCGGCCTCACCAACGCACCCGCTACCTTTCAGAGGGCGATGAACGACATCTTCAGGGACATCCTGGAGCAGTACGTTCTCATCTACCTCGATGATATCCTGGTCTACAGTCGTACCCTTGAGGAGCACCTCAGACACCTCCGCGACGTCCTTGACCGCTTGCGCAGACATGGCTTCTACGCCAAGCTGAGCAAGTACCGCTTTGCCCAGCACAAAGTGGATTTCTTACGACACTACGTGTCTGACCAGGGTCTCCTCATGGACTACGCGAAGATCACTGCTATTGCGGAGTGGCCCACCCCCACATCCGCCAAGCAGCTTCGCAGCTTCCTAGGCCTGACCAGCTACTATAGTAACTTCATCCGGGGATACGCTAGGTATTCCTACGTCCTTACCTCCACCCTCCTCCGGAAGAACCCACCCTGGGCTTGGACACCCCTCCACGAGGACGCCTTCCGCGCCCTCAAGAAGGCGGTGACATGCGCACCGGTTCTTCACCTACCCGATTTTGACCGCCCTTTTATCCTTACCACCGATGCGTCAGACTTTGCTGTAGGAGCAGTGCTTTCTCAGGTCTTCCCCTCCTCTCTTGATTCCTCTCATCCTCGTATCCCTC